AGAGTTTTTTCTAAATCCATATTGATCACTAGCAAGTATCTTATTTTGTATTAGATGCTGGTTAAGCCTTGAATATATTACCTTTTCAAATACCTTAGAGAAAGCCGGTAACAAAGATATTGGTCTATAGTTAGAGATGTTAAGTTTATCCCCACTTTTAAATACTGGTTTTACTATTGAAAATTTCAGTCTAGTTGGGTAAATTCCTGAAGAAAGAGATTTATTTACAATATATGTTAGCGGAGAACTAATAAATAGGGCACTAGCTTTCAATATTGCGACAGGTATCTCATCATAACCATGGGAGTATTTGGCTTTTAAGGATTTGATGATTCCTTCTATCTCATGGGTAGAGGCATGCTTAGGTCGAATATTTGACAGCGGACTCGTGAACATTGAGGACATATAATTTAAATAGTTATCATGCATAGGCTGTCCAGTTTTACTAATACTTGTATTATCAATAATATCCTCAGCAACTGTTACAAAATAATCATTAAGATTTTTTGCCATGATTTGTTGGTCGGAAGTTATAATACCCTTAATATCAAGGGATTGAATGTCTACTTTATCTTCTTTTTTCCCAATTTCAGTTTTGATTATGTACCAAATAGTTTTTGATTTATTTTTAGAGTCTATAATCCTCCTGTCGTAGTGAATTTTTTTAGCCGCTTTGATGACATTAGTTAGAATTTTACAGTATTGTTTGTAATGTTCTTTTAATTTAATATCATTACTAGTCCTACACTGTAAATAAAGATTTCTTTTGTTTCTACATGAAATACGTATTCCTGTAGTTAACCATTCATGAACATTTGGTTTGCTCTTTATTTTTCTTCTCGTAAAACTGGAGTAGAAAATCCTAAGATAGGTATTGAGAAAATTATTAAACATTATATTTACATCAGTTGCTTCAAAAATATCTTCCCACATCTCAAAGCTCAGTTTGAGCTTAAAATTAGCTATAGAGTGTTTATTGAAATTCCTTATGATTTGGGTGGTATTATTTAATCCTTGTATATTAAGATTTTTAAACTTAATAATTTGGGCGTCATGGTCCGATAGGCCGTTAATATGGGGATATACATTATAATTATTGTTTTTAGACACATCTAAAAAAATATTGTCAATGGCCGTTGCTACTTCATTTTGCACTCTAGTTGGAAAATTTACAACACTGGTTAAATTAAATGTAGACAGTAAGGTATCAAATTGCTGCTTTTTTTTACAGTTGTTATCTAGGTAGTTTACATTGAGGTCCCCACATATAATAAAATTTATATTTACATTATATAAATGATTCAGAATATTTTCAATCATCTTCAAAAACCACCGGAAATTCCCATCAGGAGACCTATAGATAGATATAACACAGACAAGTTGATAAGTTAATTTTTATGGCACAAACTTCAATGTCTTGTTCCTTGCAAAATTCTTGTAAATTAATAGTTATAAAACTTATAGATTCATGAATAAAAATGCATGCTCCACCATCTTTTAATTTTTCTCTACAGAATTTTGCTCCTAACTTATAATGTTCTATTGGTGAGCTATCCAGTTCAAATTCCCTTAAATGGTGATCCGTTATGCATAAAATATGAGGGAGTTCCGGGAGTAGTGAGTTTAATATTTCAGTTCTTTTGTTTCTCAGTCCCCTAATATTTTGATGGTATATCATTATACTGTCGTCTGCTTTATTAAGTTCTAAATTATTATGCCCTATCTGGGGTTCAAATTTTATATGTGAGGTATTGTGAACGTTGTTTACCATTTTCATTTCATGAAAATGCCATCCAAAGGAATTTCATGATAGACCACAGAGGTTCATAACTGTCATCACAAAAGTTCATCAGTGAACTATGTCCCAAATATTGAAACATGATACAATTTTTAAATGAACTGCAAAACTTTTTTTCCTGGAAAGGAATAATTCTTGTTTAAGATTTACTCCAATTCACTAGTTGAATAACAATTACACCATTAACATTTAATTAGAGAAATTCATACAATATCGATGAACTTACCTTTCATAGATTCATGCAGAGCCTTTAGGACTTCAGTTAGCTCTAATAGGAACCTCCTCTGTGAAGCAGGTGGATGCTGAAAAGCTCGCTTACCTAAATAACAAAAATATATTTAGAGCCATTTCTTAATGCTTTCCTGGCCTCAATCTTATAAAAGATTCAAACGGTACCATGATCCTAATATTACGGACATAGAATAATAAAAAAAGCAGAAGTTTGGAACAAGATCTAGGTTCTCATGTAAGTAATAAAGAACATTACTGTCCTCTGGGATGTGACTTTGTGTAGACCGGTTGGTAGGTAGCAATGTTTTCGAGGAATCTACAGTCTCCAACTTCAGGGTATCCCAGACAACAGTAGTCTTCAGCTGACAGTCTCTTTACAACACACAAAACTTTGTAATTACTACTCTGTAACACAGTTCACCAGGAAAATTACAAAGAATTGGCAAAATACAATGAGGAACATTGTAGCTATATTCTTCTTTGCTACTTGACACTTTCATTTATATGTATGTTGGCTGTGCCATAGCTAAGATGGTTAGCCGTCGGCTTCCCAGCACGGCGGCCTGGGCTCAGGTCAGGTCATGTGGGATTTGTGATGGACAATGTGGCATTAGGTCAGGTTTTCTCCGAGTACTTCAGTTTCCCCTGCCAATTCTCATTCCACCGACTCCTCCACACTCATCATATATCATCTGGGGCTGGTACAACAGGCCAGTTAATGGCCGACATACCAAGTGGACTCGGTCTCACCCCACCCCCCCAAAAAAAACCTAAAAAAAAAAACCCCTACATGTATGTTTAATTGATTGATTCTTTGTTTTATTTAATAGCACTATTTCAGCTGCATAGGGTTATGCAAAGTTAAATGGTAGGGTGACTATCCATGTTGACCAAATTAAGGCCCAATTACATTGTGTCAGTAAATTAGAGTAAGAATGCTAGATACAAATTCCATCAAAATCCATTTATCCATAACTGGTTGAAGCTAATTAGTGCTCACAAATTGTCCTGAAACCAATAAGTAACCATATTATTTCTTACTTTGTAGAGCCAGCAGCTTGACGTAAGTGTTGAGCTTGGCAAAGTGGGCTGTCAGTTGAGCTGTATGTTGAAGCACCGCCGCATTGCTTGCCTGTAGCATTTCAGTGCAGGTAGACAATGAACTTTCCTCTTCGAAGCTAGAGCAATATATCCCTATATGTAAACCCACTGAAAGAGGCACAAACACCTTCTAGTATGCCTGCTTTATATACTAGTGCATAATTAGCTCCATAAAATTCATGCACCCTCAAGCACATCACAGTCTATTTCTTACATCTATCCTGGTCTTACAAATGAAACACAGCAATGTAAATTTCCTCACACAAAAATCTGAAAGAGATAACAGCAGGTATGAAATCCAGGCACTAGGAGCAAGAAGGAAGATATATATGGCACATTTTGTCAGGAACGTTTCTGTTTCCATACTGCAGGGTCCTACCAGAAAAGCATCACTCGGATAGTCATGAAATTCCTTGCACTTTATAGAACCTGAATACTCATTACTGTGCTCATAAGACCCATCACTGAACCAGATGAGCCTACTTCACGTCTACCCTTTTTCTTTAATATTCATTTTAATATTATCCTCCCATCTACATGGGTGTCTTGAGTATTCTCTTCACTTCAGGTGTTCTGACTAAATTTTGTTTGTATTTCTTATCTCTCCTATAGATGCTATACACCCTACCCCTCTCATTTTCCTTCATCTGATCATCGTAACATCTGCTGAGTGGTACACATTATTAAAAGAGGAAATTAATATTTTCTCCTTAAGTTCTAAATACTCTTATATAAAAATTCTGCCAGCATCAAACCATCATAAAAAATTAAACACTTTAAATTGCAGAAACAAACATGTAGGAAGTAAATGTGGAATTTTTTGGGATTGCTCACTCAGGCAAAGAGTTTGATGCTCCTTCCACCAAATTGGGGCGACACATAACATACAAGTTTACCTCACAGCAGCACTATAAAATTCACTGTATTTCTAAATATTTAAGATGAAATTGCCCTACAGGGCATACATATAGAATTGTCCATGTTTTTAATTAAGCATCATAAGAAGTCATATGGGGAAGTGGAGGTATAGCTACACACATCTTTAACCTTGGCATTAGATTGAGACGAGTGGTCAGCTTCAAACAAACCTGCTTCTCCCCTGACAAAAAAAGTGTCTGGTAAACAAACTTTCATTTAGGAAGAGTCCTGGTCTTCAAGACGCAGAAACAAGTTACTGAAGACAGGACCAAGTAAATGGTGATGTGGGGGGAATATACAACATACATGAGCAGTCCCACTATTCAGTTATTCAGTATAGAGGGGGTGGGTTTCCCCATGCACCGCGATTAATAGTCTATTGTACATCCCCCTTTAATTTCTACTGTCGCCATACCCTACCGATACTGGTGCCCACTATCTCCCCTTTCTGCCAGTGAGGTCGGCCCTCTACTGGCAGTAGTACCCGATAACTCTCCCCTTTCTGCCAGTGAAGTCGGCCCTCTACTGGCATTGGTACCTGATAACTTCCCCATCTACCGGAGGCATTGGAAACTACTTGGGCGGGAAACATTTTGCCTAATTTTGCTCAGAGGTCTCCTAGAGACATGAGGATCTTTTACGTGTCGTAAATCTACGACATGGGACCCACGGCTTAAAGTCCCTCTTGGAGGACTTGTTCCCTGAATTTTTCTGCCCTTAAAAATTCCACGACCTCCACCGGGTTTGAACCCGCGTACCTTGAGTCATGAGGTGGGACCGTTACCCCTAGACTATGGAGGCCGCTTACCAGTCCCACTTTCTTTGCCTCTGCTGCATCCTCCCCTCCCCTCTGCTCCGCAATGGCTCTTGCTATCTAAATCTTTGCACTCACTGGAAAGGAAGCTAAGTGGGTCCCAGAGCCAGTCTGGACAATGCAAAGAAGAAACAAATGCCTGCCCTCATTGGGAATTGAACCTAATTCCGCGATTATACAGCCTAGTTGTTATACTGACTGAACATATACATTTATTTATTTATTTATTTCAAGATGCTATATCAATTACTAGGTTAAGTAGCATGATATAAGATACTGACATTCAGGCTCATTCTGTCTAATAATTCTCTTTTTTCCTCTCACTTCCACTTTGGAGAATGGGGCTGATTTCTCAGTTTCATTGATCATTTTTACGAGGGCTCCTTGGACAAGTGATCAGCTAGTCGCAAGGCCACTACCTAAACATAAACACAGAATAAACGCATACACACACAAAACATCCATGCCTTGTGTGGGAATCGAACCCACGATCCCAGCTTCTGAGCAAGCGAAGGCAGTACATGCCTCAGACCGCTTGGCTACTGTGACTGGCCTGTCTAACAATAGTGGTCCTGAAACAGAAATGTAACGTTATTCAAAGAAATTGTTTCACTGTACCTGAGACAATGGTAGGGCAACAAACGCTGTAGATACATTGTGTAAGCCGCAAGGTGGTCAGAGAGTTTGTGTAGTGAGGGCAGCACCTCCAGACTCACATAGTTTTCAGTCTCAAGTCCAGCTTGGAAATCTGTGTAGCCTTGCTCAAGGGCACGCAGAAATCTAGCATTCTCTTTCAGGTAACTGGAAAACTATAGGAAAGACACACACCAATCATGTAACAGATGTGTTAATAGTGGCGTTCAGAACCAATTTACTTCATAGAGCAAAGTCATCATTTAGAGGCTACTAGTTGCACAGCTAATCAGCAAGTTCCCCACATTTAATAGAACTCAAAAGGTTCACTACTGTGTTCACAAGACCCTCCACCTGTCCCTTTTCTGAGCCAAGCAAATTCATTCCACGCCCTTGCACCCTAATTCTTTAAAATTCATTTTAATGCATGTTACCCTCTCAGTTCTTCCAAGTCATGTTTTTCTTTAGGTTTTCTGATCAAAACATTATATTAATTTGTCCTCTCTCCTCCTCCACTGATTTCATCCTCCCTGACAGGATCATCCCAATGATATATGGCAAGGAGCAAAAATTATACCTTACAAAAACAAACGCTGGAAAATTAAATCATTCTTTGCAACTGTGTTGCTTTCCTCCGTGCCTTTCACATTTATTTACTGAATAGTACAATGCTTCAAAGGAAATCTAACTACAGATATCACATTATGGAGTCGTAACTAATTTATCTGTATATCATTAAATATACATGTAACTAAAAGATGTCTGCCATCAAAATTCTATATCATAAGGAGACCTATATTTTATATATCAATCTTCTTTGTACCATTTGCTTGTTTTTAACAAAAAAATTAAAGTGTGATTTGAGCTTCTTGTAAAGCTGGAATTACAATACTGAACTGATACTGACCAAAACAAAATGCATTATAACAAAAGCCCAAAATGTCCATGCTGTCCTTAATCTCTTAATTGTTGTATGGTTTCAGATCAATCTGGGTTGAATTTCTGAGAACCTATCATACTTGTAAGACACTCCCCCATCATGGAAATGTCAATGGATGATAATGATGGTCCCAGTGTTATGTAATCCAAACTTTCTCCAATATAATATAATATAATTCCAGCACACTACAAACCATAACACCAAGCTTAAACAGTGAAACATAAATGTGTTTACCTACCCTGCCATTTACAGGACTCAATGAGGAAAACACTGCATGTAAACGCTGCTCACTGTATGTGTGGTAGTCAGACAATGCCGCTGTCAGATCACGTAAATGAAGTCCTGCTTGTGATATCACATGCTGGGCATAGATCTGCTGTTTGCGGTCATGGCGTGGAATGTTCAGTTCATTTAGATCCCCACATCCTGCGAATCAATACTATTCAATTAAAAATATCATTACATTGCATCCCAGAAAATATTTATGAAAGACAAATTATGCTTCAACCCTTTACATAGGACAAGACACATGCAGTAAAATGTGTCAGTAATAAATATGGTTGGTTGGTTGGTTGGTTGGTTGGTTGGTTGGTTGGTGGGTTTCTAATGCCACACATTGACAATTAAGTCATCTGTGCTTTTAACCTCAACTGGCTGGCATATTTTGTAACTCATTTCCTATCTGAACACCACTTGTGTGAGTTATGTTACCAAGTTATCCAATGTACTTCAGTTGGGCTGGGTGATTTCAAGTTGTACATCAATGCAAATATAATTTATATGCGCAAAAGTACTCTGTAAACTGCACCTTGCATAAAACTAACACAATATGAAAAATTTCAGTGAAGTATCAGGTCGATTTCTGATATACAAAATCAGTGAACGACATGAAATCTGTGTATTCTTTAAACTGCTTTAGTTTATAAAAAGCTGTAAAATCAAGACACATCTTATTAATCCTTAAAGAGTACAGACATACCCAAGTTTTCAATGAAGATATAATCACCCATAATAGGAAAACATGAAGCCATATCTGGGAGACAGCCTCAGGTCCCAAGTGTACTGGATTAGGGACTAAGTAATGTACAATGAATAGAAGCTTATAAATCACAAATACATGGAAAGTCACTGACATACCAAGTTATTGAGCTTAATAACAAGAAACTGAATTTTCTAGCTTAAAATAAGAATGGTTGTCTGTAATAATTTGTTTCACATCAATTCCCCTTCAGTAACTTCGGGTCAACACACCCAGCCAACATGCTAGCGATGGTAAGAAATTTGCTGTACTCACTGGAGTCCACAAAGGGAAGATGTTGTGCAATGGTGGCTGTTGCTGACTGCAACTGCATGCCCAGATCCATCTGCAGCTGCGATTTTTGCTCTGTCATCAGATTCAACTGTGTACTGCACTGCTCCAAAGTACGGTCCTTGACTTCCACTGCTTGCCTGAGCGAGACCTTCTCTTCCTCAAGCCGTTCAATCACAGCCTGCATCATGTTAGAGCTTGACACTAAATTTCCTAGTAAAGTTACCAACACAGCTTAGGAGTTACATTAAAGCCAATATTGTAAGGTGTTAATAAGTCCAATTTATTAACTAACATACAACATAGTTTGTTTCCACTGCTATACGAAAATGATAAGCAGTAACATTACTGACATTGCTGACATCTAGATGTGAAAGACTTTCTGAAATACAACAGATCTCACAAGCATATTTTTTTGTAATGAGATTTGATCACACCAACCATAAAGCATTTAGACATATCACACTCCGTTTCATGCCTACTTTCCCCACAGTCCATCATATCCATATGCATGGCCCTCCATAAATATTTTTGTACCAAGTGATGGATTTTCATGAAACTTGGTCTAAACATCACACCACTTTAGGTAACTCCAGCTACATATTTTTCAGTTTCATATCATCAATAACACTAACATGGCAGATGTGGAAACGAAGTGACAGTGAGCCTCATTTAATGCATGGCCCTAAAACTTGGTATGGTAACAGATCTTTGAAATATATATACAGTAATTTTTATTTGTAATATGTAAAACACTAAAATAGCAGCAACAAAAAATTTATATTTGACTTTTCATAGGCATCTGAAATTTAGTGTGGTGATAGTTCATAAAAACTGTTCCAAATTTTGTACCAACCATTTTATCATATGTTATCATTTACAATAATGGTGATGGTTTGAATCTCTGAGGTAATATGTGACAAACTAATGAGTCAGAATCTAAATTGGTTGAAAATGTACACAGAAATGGATTAGTAAATTGTATGATTACTGATTAACCACCGGCCTCATCATCACACATTCAAACACTGTAAGATGTGGGAAATGGGAGGTTCTTAATTTTAAAACAAATATTTATCTTCTCATTACTTTCCAGTTTAGCTCTGCAGCACTGAAATGTCACATAGCCTTTGAGGAGAAGCATTAAATGTATGACTTGGGCTGCCAAAAGTAATGAACAAATTTTATACCTTTTCATACAGTACAGACTTCTAATAACCATGCACTGTACTGCAACTGGCTGGGCACTGAATTTTTTCAATACTGATACCATCATCCCTCAGTTAAAATACGCCACCAGCCACACAGTACAAGAAATTTAAAATCTTCTATATCAAGACAATTACGTATAATTAAAAATCAATTTCTATCCTCTCATAAAATGTTTAAAAAGATGTGAATGAACTAACTTTATACTTCTGTTCGGCATCACTGTTGACCTCGCGGTACTGCTGCAGTTCATGTTCAAGCTTCTCAACGTGCTGTGTCAGTGACGACACCTCCTGCTCATGAGCAGAATCTCTATCCTGCATCTGTAACATGCCAAATATTTCTCAGAAATATTTATTGAGATCATCATCAACAGAAGAGCTTCGAATATAATTCCAAATGGAAATGCTTAATAACAGTAAATTATATTTAAAAAGTAAAGTTTACAATCCATTAGTAGGTGCATTAGAGCATAAAAACCATATGCAGGATGTAGTGAAGTCTCAGAGAGTACTTTAACCTTTAAACACCGGACTTTTGAAATGGTGGTAAGCTTGAGTTGGCCGTAGTCTATTTAAATGCCCGCTGCTGGTGTGTGTTTAAATGCCCATTACTACTCTGCATTTAAATGTCTGTTCCTGTTAGGGCGCTTCAACAATTTTAAGCATTGTGTTTAAAAATGTTGTACCTAACACAGTTTTTATGATAAATGGATAGAATTAACTTTGTTTGTATCAGCAAAGAACATAGTGTCGCATATTGTAATAGAAGATTTGAAAATTTTTATACAAAGAGTTATACGCTATTTTTAATTTTTTTCTTTTAATTTTGATGTGTACTGCAAAAATGGTTTCCCAGTTTTTCACAGAATTGTTCTGCATTATAAATTAATTTCTGTTTGTAACACTTGACAAATTGACTGTCATAAAACAGACGGAAGCAATAAAATCATTTGGTTCTCTGCTGGAAAACCTTACAACTTTGTTACACCCTTCAGATTATCAAATCTTTTGACTAAAGAACAGAAAAATGAAAGCATGACTATTCAAGAAAAAGCTTTGAGGGGTCCCTTCTTCAGTGCTAAGACCTTCCATTGTAGCTGCCCTTTCTATGGTCATGAACGGACAGTTGCATCGTGGCTGAGATACAGAGTGCGATCTGTTTTCTATACATTCACAGTGAAATCAAATACTGTAGTTTCATTTCAACCTATATATACATCAAGCAGATAATGACAAAAAAGGTATGCACATCGAATTTTACTATATATTTTTAACACATTAATCTGCAGAATCTGCAATAAAAATATTGGCTCATGGATGAGTTTGGGCATAACTCATTCATATACTCTTTATTTCTGTTGTTCACTTAGGGATCATTTTAATTCCTCTATTACGGTTTTACTCAAGTCTGTCTTGTAACTACTATATTTAAAAATAAATATTTAGGACTGTGCATGCACTTCTACTAGTGGCGTGTGCGCACACTTCCAGCAGCGGAGTTTAAATGCCCGACTGGCCAAATCGGGGTACTTTGGCCACGACAACCATACTCATCACTGGCCCAATCAAGGCACTTTGGATGTTAAAGGTTAATTACAGAGCCAGTACCAACTTCTATTCATTAGTCTATTCTGATTGTAAATAAAATGCATTGCCATAAAGAATTCATAACAAGAATATTAGTCCATACCTATGAGATGAACTGGTGTTCCACAGGTGTGGCCTATACAAACTACAATTTAACATATTAAATATATAAAATATTAATACATATATGGTCTAAAAGTATTTTTGGGATGCATTCTTGGGATTTTAATGACTATTTTTTGTCAACTGCATATGTTATGGGGTGTTGAACACCATGAAGAAGAAGAAGAAGAAGATGATGATGATGATGATGATGATGGCTATAAATGATGAAACAGAAATGATGTGCAAGCAGTCATAACAGCCAGTTTTCTGGCTGAGATTCAAACCCAAATATGCTCAGGATTCCTAAACATGTGGAGACAGAAGAAGGAGATTCCTCCAGAACTTTGGTACCTAACTATCAAACTACATAGCCACATCCCAGAAGACTGTAATCTTAATATTTATTGCTGTGAGAATCTCATAGGAAAACTAATTTTTTAATTAACATCTGTTATCAATACACTATGCCAGTTTGCTCTTCATTAAAAGTGTATCACTTTGCCCAGTAAAGCCCATTAACATGTAACTTGATTTTATGTACTTAAAATATTTAACTAAAATTAATTCAAAGGCTTCAAATAAGTACCTGAAAACTGAGAATGAAGTTCTGTATTGGTATATTATTCCTGTTGTCTAACTACAGTAGCTAACGAACTCATATGAAGTAGAGTCTTTCTCGAAAAGTGAACAGTCACCCATCTACTCATGATATAAATCATCTACGAAACTTGAAGGTTCATTACTGTGTCCACAAGGTGCTATGCAGTGAATAAGTTATCCAGATTTTTATCAGATAATATTTCATCATCAACAAAGTAATTATTATCAGATGTCCCACAGCCATCAAAGAATGTCAATAAATTAAGAAGCTTTCATGATAGATATTGCTAAAATAGACTTATCCTTACATTCTTGACTTTCCCCTCTCACTATACACAGAGCAGTGGCATTTTCTTTTAAAGTCAGCTTCCAGCTAGTTAACTACAGAATGGAATCATACTCTTACATATTTTATTATCTGTAGAGCCCACTTCTGAGATGACTTAATAAACACCCACCATTGATAATAAACATGCATTCTCAGCAATCTTCTTTTGTAGTTCTTCATCTAACACATGATTTGTTAACTCTGTGTTGGGTGACGCTCCAGGACCTTTCACTTTCCCCTTTTTGGGACGTGCCTGAAATAAGAGTATGTCATTCATGGATTTCACATTAAGAAGTAATTCTGTTTCCTCCATTTCAGTAAGATTTCTTTATCACGCCAGAAGGAACTTCATAGAAAAGTAACAGAAGGTCTTAATTTTTTCAATACTAAAGAGATACCATGCATATGAGATTTGGGTCTCTCATGGCAGTGAATATTATGGTCTTAAGGTCTATTGGGACAATGCCATGTAGTTTAGTGGATACGAAACAAAATTTTGAAGGAACTTATTGCCTCCATCTTCAGGGTAGAACGCTAAGCCATGCAGGGAAAAACAATATAGATATTGTGGAGGAGGGAACCAGAAACTGATTCACTCATAGTTCTAATCTTGTTCCTGCCTTCTGTAGGTCTGACCATTCTTCCTTACATGGCTTGCTCTTCTACCCTAAAGATGGAGTCAGCTGGTTCCTCCAAAATCTTGGTATCTATTTACCAGACTATGTGTCATCTCATCCCACAGAAGACTGTAACCTTAATTGTGCAAGGCTTTTCAATGCTGGACACTGAGTGAAAACAGAAAGTGTAAAGAAAATAAGCTATTTACTATCAGCTTGAACAGGTTATTGTCAGGCACTAGTCTCAAAAAAACTTAGTGACTCATAATTCAACTGTATAAATAATCTAATGATCAATGTTTGTTTGTCATTATAATGAGAACTAATTGCTTGAAAGCAGAAATATGTAACTTAAAAACCCTGAGTGGATTAAATAAAAAGGTAAGATAAAAGTAAAATTGTCCCTCTGCTTAACTAACTAAGCACTACACCATGAAGGCATATGGGGAAGCGGAGGTATAGAGCCACATGAGTGAACTAAATATAATTAATAAAACAAGAAATGTACAAAAGAAGAACGAATTACTGTCAGAAACTTTAGAGATTTAGATTTATCATAATCCTCACACTGAAATCTAGATCACAGTAAGAATCAACTGATAACTGGATGTTTCTAAAATAGCTCTGTTGATCACCTGCCTGCATTATATCAAGTTCATCTTGAAGTACAGTCACTCTCTTTGTGAGCTGTTGATTGCGAAATGTTAAACTGTCCATTTCTTGTTCAGCTTTGCGCAGACTCTGCTCCCGCTCTTTCAGAATATCCCGCAATTCTGAGTTACGAGTCTGCTCTTCTACCACAGCCTTTCTCAACACACTGACTTGTGCTCTCATCTATGTAAAATGTGAAAAATTTACAAATGATAACATCTAATATAAGGATAATTTTCAAGTTACTTGTATGCACAATAAAAAAGTAAACTACCTTTGAATATTCTGCAGCAATTTTTTGATATTTTGCTTGCAAATCTCCTGGCACCCCTTCCATTACAAGAAGTTCTGGTTTCAACCTAAAATAAGAAATTAAAATTCTGTATTTTTTACGCCATATTTGTTCCTGCTCACTCTTAACGAATACTACCAGCAGAATTACATATATACATAAACCTAGCTAGACCTGATTTGGACCAGATTTTGGATACAAATATCCCAGATCTGATGGAGAACAGCAGGAAGACCGAGGAGATACTACCATCGAAAGAAGGATTCTGAGGATCCCACAGGAATTAAGGTGCCTGATCCATGATGAGAAGAAAAATAACAGATGAAGGAAATGCAAACGTATATGACCACGATACTCTAGAACCTTGAAACGTATACAGACAACTGAAATTGTTACATATTTGCCTTCCAATTCATTTAGAATGTAGAATCTTTAGAGGGTCATTTAACAACGCAGTTAGTATTCAGACTATATGGCCCAGAATTTAGAGGTTATGAACTGTAAAAGAGACAGAAAGTAGGCATTACATGTGCGAATGACTCTCTAGGAATTTATTTGGTGGTTTACAGGACAATTACAAAGAGAAATTAATACCTCTCAAAAATACAATTGGAGGGATGCGCCATAGCTCAAGCGGTTAGTTGCTGGCTTCCCACTGAAGCGACCCAGATTCGATCCCGGGTCTGGTCAAGTGGTATTTGTGGTGGACAAAGTGGCGCTGGGGCAAGTTTTCTCTGAGTACTTCAGTTTCCCTTGCCAATCTTCATCCCCCAATCGCTCCACAATCACCCTCACCTATCATCTGGGGCTGGTACAATAAGCAAGAAGTGGCCGCAATGTAAGGGACTTACTTCAACCAAACAAAGTTTCTGAAAACTTATTACCCAGGCTTTGCATGGATAAGAATATTGTTTTTCTAATTTTGTAGCCAAACATTTTATCATTATTTTTATTTTCCATTAACATCAATAATTTGGAGTGGCTGAGGAATTTTGAACATAAACACAGAATATGTGGAACTGCGATATGAAAATTACAAAAGTTTTAATAATTCCAACGAATATGAATAGTTATACGACGGCTTACGGGGCACCGAAAATTTCCGTAAAACGTGGCAATGTGTAAAAATCGTTGGGGGCACGGGGAGATTAATCTATGGAGCGCTATGGAATATCGTTTATATTTCTCCGAACCAGGGGAAGAATGCACTATTAACAGTTACGATTTAAATATACTGATACTGAAATCACCATAAACAATGTGAGATAAATATACAACCATTTAAAAACGGGCGAAAATTGAACTCAGACTCACTGTTCTTCAGCGTTGTTGAAATAAAAATTTCCGTCCGTTGTGCTTTCAGCTCTTCCTCCAAAGTCTCCGAAAATCCTTCAAAATGCTTTAAACACAACAATATCAACAGCACACAAAATCTTAAATTGTCATTTATGCTAGACACCTAAACTGGCTGGCAAGTTCTTACTTCTTCCGCTGCAACCTGTCAAAATAACCAGTTCTTTTTTGCCGCCTCTTCTTTAACATCACGATCATAAAACAACGTAATTATATTCCTCTGTAACTGAGCAGTACTTATTGATTACTGATACAGATTCAGCAAACTAATCCGTTTTATAACAATCGAAATGTCAGTACCGTTAACATCAAACGCCCCTTCCTATTCCACGAGTGATAGCACAGGATAGCACATTTACACAACAGCTGATACAAACAATGTCGCCAACATGTACGAAGGTTATTAAGCTGGACGAAACGAAAAACAGATTTGAAATCTTCACGGCAGCGAAGATCCTGACAAAAATTGTATGGTAGTACCGAACCATGAAGATGGAAGCTGTATGTCCTTCCGAAATAGTGGTGCACACTACCAGCCTGTACGAGTATCAATTTTGGGGCCTTCACTCTACAAGCCGGAAGATCGCGGGTTTGATTCCCGGTGAGGTAATTGGATTTTTCACTCACTCACTCATGGAGCTAAGCTCTATTTGGGAAGCTGACAATTGTGCAGCTACTCAAGGACTAAACAGCATTTTATGGAACCCGAAGGTACATTACCGTGTTCACATGAGCCTTCCACTGGTCTCTATGCTGATCCTGATCCTGAGGCAGATCAATCCAATCCACACCATCCCATCTCTCCAAGATCCATTTTGCTATTGTTCACCCACCTACCTCTTGGTCTTCCCAGAGGTCTCTTTCCTTCTGGCTTTCCCACCAATATCCTATAAGAATTCTTATTCTTCTTCTCCTCCTCCTCCTATTCATGCTAAATGTCTTGCCCATCTCATCCTCCTTTACTTGATCATTCTAATTATATTTGGAGGAGAGTACAAGTTATGAAGCTCCTCATTATGCAGTTTTCTCCAACCTCCTGTCACTTCATCTCTTTGATCCAAATATTCTCAACACCCTGTTCTCAGACACCCTCAGCCTATGTTCCTCCCTTAACGTCAGATACCAACTTTCACATCCATACAGAACCACAGGCAAAATTATAGATTCTTATATTCTAATTTTTATGTTTTTAGACAGCAGACGAGAAGACAAAAGGTTCTGGACTGAATAGTAGCAAGTGTTACCCAAGTTCAATCCTCCCTTAATTTCCTTCTATATCAGTTTTGAGTTGTTATAGTCATCCCCAAATATCTGAACTGTGCCACATTTTCAAAACATCTGTTATCTATCTTCACATCATGATTTTACCCTGCATTTTGGTAATAAGACAGCAACATATACTCAGTTTTATGTGTTTACTTCTAGACCAACCTCCTTATTAGCATCAATTAAAGGTTGCTTTTCTTTATGGTATCTATATTATCACCCAGCAGATTCACATCATCAGCATAGACGAACAGCTGATGTGCCCCATTTAATTTCAGTCTCACCTGGTTTTCCTGGACCTTCCTAATGGAAGTATGAATCGTATGAAAATCGTGTTTAATCATGAATTTCAGGAAGATTACTCTCTTCTTGAATATGATGCCATGTAGTCCAGTAGATTCTTACCAACTTTTGAAATCTGCTGTCTCCCTCCACCTTCCCAGGAGGAATTGGAGAAATTCTTCAGAAATCACATGAACACATGAATGTTCAGTAATTTTTTTTTAATTCGCTTAGTGCGAGGTGGAGTCCAACTGGGTCCACTCAGCACAACGTCCACTGACTAGCCTATTGTACCTGCCCCCTGGTGATTATGATGATGGAGAATTTGGTGGAATTAAGATTGGCAGGGGAAACCAAAATACTTAGGGAAAACCTGCCCCAGCACCACTTTGTCCACCACAAATCCCACTTGACCAGACCCAGGATCGAACCCGGGCCGCCGCGGTGGGAAGCCAGCGACTAGCCACTTGAGCTATGGCACGGCCCTGAATGTTCAGTGTGTATGAGTACATATGAAGTCTTGGGGACTGGATCTCATATTTGAACTAGGAATGATGGTGTTATTAACCCCTCAAGCTGGTATCCCAATTATATCTTCACCCAGGCAGTGAGGTTCACTGCCATTAAATGCCAGCTTCATGAGTTAAATGTTGTGGATAAGAATATTAAATGTATTATGCAGTGAAGACTATATAATAAAGTTCTATACACACATTTCAAAATTTATTTTAAATGAAATATATATATATATATATATCAGCCCAGTTCTTCATGTGATCTTATAGCAGTATACCATCTTCAAAGGAAGTACTCTGTCTCAATACATGCACCCTTCACACATTTATCTGTTTGTGTGTGTATTTCTTGCACTTTTTCCATAAGATATATAACATTCTTTCCCACATTGTTTAATGGCACTTGATTTCATGTCATTCTTTTTCTTTGGGTGGGGGTTATTTTATTTTATGACTGATGAACATTGAAATGGAAAGGGCTTGGAAGGGAGTATGGGTATTATCCCAGCAAACTGACTCTTACTGGAGTATTTGTATATATTTTTACACAGAGAAAACAGTACAAACAGACACATATCTTCACTGTTCTCAACACATCACTTCCTAAATGGATAATAATTATGTTGCATGTAACTTCATAATTTATTTAAAGGTTTTCAATGATCAAACCAATGAACATGGTTTCTGCATGACATGTGATATCTGTCTATGCCTCTTCAGATACCTCCATCCTCTCTGGACTTTCCTGTTGGTCTTCATCAGCAGTGACTTCCACATGTTCCTGCTTCATGTCACTTTTAATTCTCTCCTGTTCTTCTTCGCTGTCTGTGTCATCATCTGCTCCAGGATGATGAGAAACAAAATGTTCAGGAACTACTTCCTTCTGTGCACCAGGCTTCTGCCACACTTTCTGAGCTCCCTGTATATACAACACAAATCTCAATTACACATGACCTGTGCATTTCCCTACAGATGAAGAGAAGATATTAAGATGTGACAGGGGATTTGAGTGCTAAACTTTTATATTCTCCACAAAAACCAGACTAATAAACAATTTAAATTTAAATGTTTATCTTATACCATCTTTATTAGTCTCCTACTTCTAACAGCAGAATTTTAATGTTTTACTTTATGTGATCTATAAAAAAAATGGAGGGGGATGGCTGTACCACCAGTAAAACGCCCTGCACATATATACAAATCTTCTAAAGAATATGTAGTGAGCAGATCCCTTTGTAACAATTTACATCGTATTTAACTCCTACAAATTCTTTGCTTGGGAATAGGGATATGCCAGAAAGTCAGAGGCCACTTAGTCATTCTATATGAAAATGATAATAACCAGACACAAATAAAAATTAATGATTAATAAAAATAAGGATGTGAATTCTGAATCTCTGAGAATATATTTAAATGTTAAGTAACTAGCATTCTGATTCTTTACATGCCTGCTAACATGTGCCCTTCCATCTTAAAGAAATGTTTTCTTTCTCTTTGACATGCAGTTAGACACCACAGACATCAAAAAACTATAACAGACAAGACAAACAAACAAACAAAACAAACAAAAATATGTCTGTTCATACTTGCCTGTCTGTGGTGAGGCAATGGTTGTTGTTTATAGAGCTTACTGCTAACATGGCTTTTGTAATTAAGTTTCTACAAAAGTGATTTAATTAAATCATAAAGGTCAAGAATGTCTAAACCTCAGCAACACCTGGCAAAAAATTTTCAAAACTGGTTAAACCTAGGCCTGCTTATAATCACGGTATAATCAGATTATCTTCTACATACTAATTAAGCATAGGAAGAATTTTATGACCAATCAGGAGAGTGTTAAGGCACTGTGGACTCACTAAAATATGACCCACAGAGCCTATTTATTGAAGACTATATTGAAAGAGAAACATGTTTATAAGATTAACTTCTTATTATCTGTCTTTTATGGAGAATAAAGTGCACTGGCTGCAATAAAAACAGGTTCCAATACAAGGCTAAGAAAAACATATTTTGTTTTAGTTCTTATATGGGATTCTTCATAAGTGATACAGTGGAATGAAATGTGAGAAGTTTTGGATACAGACACTGTAAAACAATAACAAATGTTGTTTACTTTCCATATAGTATGGACAATTCTCCATAAGATGAGGCACTGACTATACAATTAATTAATTTGCAACATCACGGGCCTCCTATGCATTCTTATATAAAAGAAATATCGAATTTCCAAGTTGTCCATGGAAACGTATGAAAAGTAAAATATCAACGACTGATTCGATGTTATATAACATCAATTTTATCTTGTTTTATACAATAACTTTTAGTTTTTTATATAATCTGACTTATTGTATTTTTATGCAAAGCATTTTAAATGATTAATAACATTGTATCCTATCTACGTACTGCAGTTCAATGGTATATGTTTGTTAATATGTGTTTGCCTGATGATGGCCGTTAGTGGCTGAAACATCTAGCAAAACATAGCTGGGCGCTAACCTCGATTTTTCTTTTTGTTGTGTTGTGACGATCAATAAAGAGTTGAATAACAAATGTAACTAGCCTCTACTGTAATGGCATTTGCATGGGGGAAGATGATGGATGCCATTGCTTGTGATGGCTGGGACAAATACCATATGATGAGTGAACATAAGTACACTGTAAATCCATGTTTGAATAACTTTATAAAAATGGTAATTTCCTTTGAAATATTTTCCAGTTAGACGACAATTCCAGATGCCTGGATATCAGATAACCAGGAAAATGGTGTGATTTCTTTCAGAAACGTGTGAAGCTAGCAGTGAAATACCTGGGTTCACATCATATAGAGCTCTGCATTACTGCAGAACACATTTCATGTTTCAAGAGCAAGCTGTCACTTTAGATAAGTTCATGTACTTACATAGAATGCTGATTTCATTGCCTGAACCTTCTGTATGTAGAATTCGTACACGAATGCTGCCATCTGGGGCATATCTTCCACTTCCTGTGGAGCTCCTTGAGGAGCACAGTTGTTAAGTCTCTGGGCAGGGAAAGCTTCATGAGGAACAATGTGCAGTTTCAGTGGTCGGGCCATTAGCTGAAATGAGCAAGACGTTTAGAAGTACGGTAAAATATATGAGTTAACAACATGAGAAATGGAGGACCATTTATGAAGTTGGATCAAATATTACTGAGCCTGTCTCAAAAAGATGAAAACAATAAATGATTTGTCATGATGGTCAAGCAGTACAGATTCAGTTCTCCCTGGGCTTCATTAAGTGCCATGCCATGATTACATATGGGGGGGCGGAGGTTTGGAGGTTTGTGCATTAACCTGAGCACTAGGTGAACATGACAGGTAGCTTCATGCAGGAACTGCTTTACCACCAGGGAAAGTTCCTTGTAACTTACTGGGTTGGAAGATGCATGGGCTCAAATGGTCTGGACAGTGTGGAGAGAAGCAGCCCTGCCCTGACTGGGAATCAGACCCTGATTCCCTGTCTTCTAGTCCACAGCCTGGTCACTGTACTGAGTGAGCTCAGAGTACATGCTTTTAACCATAGATTAAATGAGTACTGCACCATGTGTCAACACTGATGCCAAAGATAAATGTTAGGATTTTTATTAATCTGTTTTAGCATTTTCTGGAATATATTAGGATGTCATGATATGGATTAAACTGGCTCAGGATTGAATACAATGTTTTTTTTAGAACACAGTGGTAAAACTTTGGGCCTTGAGCCTAATGACTGTAAACCAGAATACGAATAGAATGTCACGAGAAATACTCGTATATAAGAATGATAAGAATTTCCAAGGAGAGTAGCAGTAATAACATGAACATGTAAGGTAAAGCTATCCCAGTAACAGGATGTGAAGGACCACAGGGTTGTGAGATGTCAAGGCTCCCACATTTTCTAGACAATTGGCTCATAGATGGTGGTGAGGTTGTAAGTCTTATGAGCCTACTGTCCTTTACCCCAAGGGCCATAGTTCAGCTGGAAGGAGTAGGACAATTGAAAAATCCAGTCACCTCATCGGGAATCAAATCCACAACCTTCAAGCTTGTAGCATAATGTCTCAACAAACTATGCTACAGCATGCCTCTACATAAACAGGGAACAGGTGAACATTAAATTTCAAGATAATCCTTTATTTGCTCCAAATATGGCTAGAGAGTGCTTACCTGACTGAATGCTGGAGTCAATTCAAAGCAATTCTTGAAAAGAGAAACCCTGGCAAATATGTAGAGACCAAGTCGAGCACGAGACATAGCCACTACCAGACGGCGTACATCTCTCAGATGCCCAACTGCCTTTGTCCGTACCAATGAAAGCAAGATGTAGTCATTCTGTTGACCCTGGTACTTGTCCACTGTGGTCACCTGATAATCAAGTCACAAACACACATATACACTGACAGTTGTTACTCTACTCACCCACACAGACTCCACAGGTATATTAGATTAAATATAACTGAAATAAATGGTATAACATGTACTGCAAGAATTTTTGTTGGGTCCTCTTTCACCATGGCATGTCTTCCGTGCACATATTCCTGTATCAGTAAAAAACTGAGACACATGGTAGTCTCTGTATATTCATAATCAGTGGAACTGTCATTTAATATTTCTCTCGGGAGAAGTGGATTTGAATGCTAAACACAAAAATTATAACGGGAGGAAATTTAACACTAAGATTATAGATTTGGGTAAGTGAAATAGTATGTTAAGTGAGGGAACGCCCTGAAGTGAGGAACAAAACATGAGGTTACACTGTACAATGTTCCTAAATACCATATTGATTTTAACTATAAGACAACTTCCTTTAAAATTAAAAATGTTAAGGAAACATAATTATCTCACTTGTCCATATCAAATTTTTAGGCACCAAAGATATCTTGTGGCCCATTACCCATCTTATTCTTTATTCAAAAATATTATCAAACATAAACACAGAGCTGAACTGTCTTTTTCCACTGTTCCATAGTTAACTTACAGTAGTAAGAAAATATAAAGGGCTGAAATACAGTAAAACTTGGTTATAGCAACATCGGTTTCTGCGACACCTTGTCTATTGCGTCAAATATTCAATGGTACGAACTAATTCCTCATAAAGCAACTGTTTTTATACCTTGCTTAGTATGACATGCACAAATGCATCAACCTCGTATGTAACGTCATTTTCATGCCTGAATTTCTCTGATATCGTGGGAAAGTTCAATGTGTCTGCACACCCTCACTTTCTCTACTTGTTGACGTGACTGTCCTGGAAGAATACGACCGCAATCTGCAAGAGGACCATGGGTTTTATGCGAAAACAAGGGTGTGGGGTGGGACTGCGTGAATAGTGCAAGAGGAAGCGGCAGGTTGTTAACTGCATTCCTTTCCTAGAATCTCGTCTAACAGGACCTCACATTGTCTACTTACCCTATAGTGTTCCTGCCTAAACCCAGAGAAGTGCAGTAGCGAAAACATGGCAATGAAAAGGAAAGTTTTAAGCATTGAAGAGAAAGTTAAAGTGATTCGTGAAATATTGTGTGTATTGTCAGTGAAAAGCGCTGTAATATGTCTTTGATATTACACATTTGGGCAATTCCACGTAAATGTTATGTTAGTCTGTACTTAACTATGTATTTCACTAAAAAATGCAACATTTTAACTCGGTTTTTGGTAGATTTTTACGTGACTAACATAAGGCTACTGTGGAAGTGCCCATTTCGGTTACGACATTCGTTTATAACGACACTATTTTTAGGTCCCTTTGATGACGTTATAACCAAGTTCTACTGTACTTCCAAAATTCAAAGAATTCTACTCATACATAAATGTGATGCTTAATGAATACATCTGCCTAAAATTTCAAAGCATTAGGTGTCCTGAATTTCAATAGATGGAGAATTTATTGCATTTTACATCTCATACTCAACAGAACGTTTCTCACTTCATGATTCAAATAGAAATAATAATGCCATTTGGGATTCATTCTTTACACGACTAGTTTACGCAATTAGTTTATACAAACTACAAACAGTACTTTATGTGGTCGTCCAATGAGTGGGTTGGTTGCACAGCGAATATTGATGACATCACGAATGAGATGCTTCTGCCCATTGTATGTGGTGAGGATGGATATCTTGTCAGCTGGGTAGCCGATCAGCCTCATGTACATGAACACAGCCACACAATATTCTGCCTCTGCCAGATTCTGATCAACAATGAAAGTTTATCCAGTTAAATGTATCATATTGTTTGATAAATTTACATATTCTGCATTAATACATGTTAAAACAGTGAGGGCTGGCATTATATTAATGGATCCCACTGCCATAATATTGCTCCTTATATATGTCTGACTTCTGTATGTAGCATATATGAGAAAGTACTATAGCCATGAAAAAATTAATCTGGAAATCTTAAAAGATTTACCCATTTTCAGCATCCCTGAATATGAAAAGATGGATTTTGGAATGCCATCCCTCACTCTCTCTCTCTGTATGTGTGCCTCACTAGCATCTGAATGGTTGAATTTTATTCATATTTAATATTTAAGAGTTTACCCATTATGCATCAGTGTCCTGTGAATATGAACATTCTAGCTCAAAAAACTGGGGCTCCTCACATACAAGTAAAACTGTAATTTTCCTCAAAACTGCTCTAACAACACAGATGAAACTTCAGTACATCTACATAAATAAAAATACACAAGTTGTATCTTCAAGAAAATAATGGTATTCCTTGTAGAAGTCCAAAGGTGTATCCAAGAAAGTATGTGCAATTTTTTTTAATTACTGCAGCAAAGCATATTTTTCACAAGTAGCTCATTTCAGTCTTATCATTACGAACAATGCTTGAAGTATATGCACATCACAGTCTACCCAGACAAACATAATTGGTAGACACCCCATGGTTCACATGGGCATGGTACACAAACTTTGGACAGGACACACTGTGTTTACTTAGCCTTCAATAACTGCTGAAATAATATTCAAAGTTCAGAATTTCACTGTAAATGAATAGTACTAATCATTCAAATTAAGGCCTGGGGTAATCGTTATATGTATATCCACGGAAAGAATAAAGTTTAAAGAATGCCTAAGTTTCTCATAAAGATGTATACATTACCCAAACTGCTGCAATTAAAAGGAGCATAACTCCAACATTGCCCAATATTATGTGATTATTGTAATAATAAGTCTCATACTAACCTGGTAGAAGTACGGACTGGGTTCTGACTCGCCAACACCATTGAAATCTTCCACATTGATAAGTTGGAAATCAAACCAGAAACCAGGGTTGGCAACACGATATTCAGGCCAGTTTTCTACATGTGCCAGATTGCCTAGTCTTTTGTACCGCCATTTGTATAGGTTGCAGATGCTGAAAAAAGGATTCACCAATGTTCCAAAAGAAAATTCTATACAGATGTTATTGAAATTACCATTTCTTATACTGTTATAAGAGTAAACTTAAGCTACCATTCTCTGCTGTAAGAGTACTGTACATAAGGCTATATGTAGGAAAGTTTTTCCCCATATTTTCCCATATTCTGTTATTTAGTTAAAACTACTAACTCTGGGGAATTTTTACAGGAGCAAAATGTAAATATAAGACATTCACAAATGGGGAAGAAAGGAGCAGTAACATGGTACAAGGTACTTGGTGGGATATAAACTATGGCATTGACATGTATATCAGCTATAGCTGTGCCAATGGCAGGCAGTGTTATACTCCTTTATTATTATTATTATTATTATTATTAT